AAGGCTATATTAGAACAAAGATCTTTTATGTGCCAAAGCTCCATTTTTTTAAATGTAAACTCTAAAAATAATAAAACACGAGCAAGATTGTTTATTGAGCTGACAGCCCAGATTGCGATGATTACAGCGGTTGTGTTTCTGATGGTGATGATAGAGGAGTGCCTCAGTGGGAAGCACACAGCCACATATCTCTCTAAAGGCATTACCACCAGTGTTAGCGGAGAAATCCCAGTTGTGAGATTGGCAAGCATACTAAGAACAATGCACAGCGAATACACCAGTTTCACTCTGCAAACAGACAGTAAGAACTGCACCTGACTCTGAGCCAACTGGACAGTGTCTGCTAGAAGGAGGTTGTACAGAAGAACATACCGACATGTGTCACGAAACACAGGTTTACTCCTCAAAGTGAAAAGAATGGTCCCATTAATGTAGAGAAAAATAACTGATGGTACTGTAGACAGAGTTGATATTAGAGCTATCCTTAAAAGATTCTGTTTCTGAATTGCTGATGTCATATTAGACTCAGACTGGGACACATTCAACATGCTGAAGAGCTCCAAAAATGCAAAAAAAAAAATTCCCCTTTTGAGATCATGAATACAAATAAATCAATCAGTATTTAAAGAGATTTAGATAAAAACATTTCTTAAACAGAAATGAATGACAATAAAAGAACAATTTAAAAATCAGACAAAGACAAAGCTCCTGCACACAGCTACACTTATTGTGAAGCTCTGCAGGTAAATCTGGGTTTTTATTACTTTGGATGACAAGGTCCTGCCTCAGTAAATATTCAGTTGACATATTACAACGTCATTCACTAATTAATTATCGAATCCCTGTTGTATAACCACAACAGAGCTTCAGTGTGTGAATTTGGTCCCCTTTTTTAGGACAGGTGGGAAAAACTAAAACTAAACCTCTCTCCACATGCCAATCTCCCATAACTGAGTCACTCAAGAGATTACAGGTTAGAGTTTCCCGGTTGGCACATTGTTTATCCAATACACTGCCAAGAATGCCTGAAGGACATAAAAACCTGGATACCATGATCTACTACATTTGAATTACTTCTTAGTTTAACTATTCCTTTTTGATGTTTTTTTTAGTTATCTCCTATTCAGCATTCTGTAGTCTTTGCTGTGGTTTCAGTTTGCATTTCATTGTTTACAGGTTTCTTTAGGTTATGTTTTCCATGGCATCGTAGTTATCTCAAGTCCCTTCCCCTATCCTCTAATTTGCCATTGGTCATTCTGTGTTTTTTAGTCATTAGTTTAATTCCCCTTTAAGTGCTTTCCTACTTACATTTGATTATTCTAGATGTTTTTCTCGTTGTATTTGAGTAATAATTTATTTCTTGTTTACTCTCTATTGGCTGATTGTGCCAGTCTCCTTTCCCCTGGCTCCCTTCTAGGTCCTTCTGTCCACACCTGCTTCCAATCAGTTGATTACTCCATTCTTTGTTCT